TATTTGCTTGAATTCTAAAGATTGTGAATTTAGATATAAATGTACATTTCCTTGTCGTCATTTTCCAATTAAATGTTGTTGTTTTTTTTAAAAGCTGATTTCTCCGAAAAAACGAACTTTCCTATCATGAATTAAAGACAAAAATGATGTAATTGAAATATATTATCAAATAAGAGAAACGATTACTACATGTTTATATCAAAATGTTTAATCATAATACAGTGAAATTAAGGAGTCCTTTCTAACTATAAGTCATGCATTAGTAAAATTGGAATCTGCCATTAATTTATTAATTATAAACTTTATCAAATACATCATCATCATAATAATAGTGAAATTACAGGAAGCAAATATTGCTCTCATGCGTCAATCAGACACAGAAGACGATGAAGATTACTTAGTAAAAGTTCGCAACCTTACGCTTAATATAGAACTGGAGAGTTTTCATAAGGGTATGCATTAGGTCAACGAACAGGAGGTAAAAGAATCTAATTTAGCAGGTTTCTATTCTAATGCAATCAATTTATTGCACCTTTCTTGCCAACTATCCCAATAAACACGAAATAAATACCTCTTCTCAGAAGACTAAAGCGACAATGATAAATGTTATCCCAATTTACAAATGGCTTTGTAATTGTGATCCATTTTCTTGGCAATTGAAAGGCATTGTTCACAAGTTTTACCTGACATTGAAGCACTAATATAATACGAACATTTTATATATACTAGTACTAAAATTGATTGCTTGGCTGGGGTTTCATTTACTGTTATAACCAAAGAATATTCAGTGGAATAAAGTTTTATTATTATTGAATATTTTAGAGTTTTGTTAAATAAAAAAGATTGTTTTCTGCACAACACAAGGTACACGAATTTTGAAACTTATGAAGCAAAAACAAACAATTACATAATTAGTTATTAATTACATGATTCAAATGCTTTGAGGTTATTTGATATCCCAAACATTAAAAAGCATGAAAAGGACAGTTTATTTTACTAACATTATCTGAATTTCTATCCTTGGAAGCTGGGTCGAATGAGTACAAGCTAAAAATAAAATAATTATCATTGTGTAACTAAGAAAAACAGCGCACCTGTGCGATTGAGATCGCGGGTAGTTTGCACCTACTTACTGCTCTTCCTTTATGTAGAAAATTATTAATTATCGGAAATTTGTAATGTACGTATCTATATTTCACAGACCATTGCTCTGCGGACAAGGTCAGGTCAGTATCGATGTCTATCAAAGAATTACACGCGCTTGCTCTTCGGAAATTTCTAACTAAAATTCAGCTTAGTTTAATGAGAATTTTTCAGAAGCAAAAAAAGTTATCCATTAAAAATGCTCACTCTATTAGAAATAAACACATCACAAAATCATTCACTCGAAATTAAAGCTTTCCACTTCTCATTTTCGAAATGAGTCCAGATTTCCTCTAATTTAAATCATTCAAAGGACCAGTTTCGATGTATCGGATAAGGCGAAATTCATAAAAATTGAAGAACACATCCATGAAAAACTTGTAATTACTCTTGTTAACATTTTCCATGCGTAATTATGTTCCCCAAACGAAGTTGGGGAACATATTGTTTTTACTCTGTTTCTTATTATTATGTTCCCCAAACGGAGTTTGGGAACATATTGTTTTTACTCGGTTTCTTATTATTATTATTATTATTATTATTATTCTTTTTTTTCTTCTTTGTTCTCCGGTACTTTTTTTGTCCGCGAGTGTTCTCAGAAACTGTTCACCCAACTGAGCTAAAACCTTTTTAGGGTTAATAGGTGTGTAGTGTAGGTGTGCAACACGAAGGTTATTTTGCGCGCATACGCATGCACGTGCGGGCGCGTGAAATGAGTGAAATGACGGATATACTTTATATAGCCATAACTTTAACATTTTCTGATGAAATATTTTAAAACTCATTTAATAAAGATATATTAATAGTGTAGATAATGTGACACCGTCAAATTAGCAAGAACTCACGCGCATGCACGTGCGCTTCGCTCTGGTTGGCTGCAACAAAAATCTCAATATCTTTTCAGTTTTTTGACGAAATGCAATGAAATTTAAAATGTAGGCATACTTTAGGATGTACTACAATATGATATATAACAATTGTCATGTAAACACGCGCATGCACGTGCGCTGCAATCTGATTGGCTTAAACTTTAAATGGCTATAACTCCCTTGTTTTTCAACGAAACAGTATGGGATTTAGAACATAGACAAACATAATGGACTCCCATAAGGAGGTATGGTCGTCATGCACATGCCATGCACGTGCATGCATGTGTGCTTTGCTGTGATTCGCTGAATCAAAAATCGCAATATCTTTTTTTAATTTTTGACGAAATGCTTTAAAATTTAAAACATAATCATGCATTAGGATGTCCTACAATATTATATATAACAGTTGTCGTGAAAACATGCGCATACACGTGCGCTGCAATCTGATTGGCTTAAACTTAAAATGGCTATTACTTCCTCGTTTTTCAACCAAACAGGGTGGGATTTAGAACATAGTCAAACATAACAAACTCCTACAAGAAGATACAGTCGACATGCACATGCATGCACGTGCGTGCACGTGAAATGAGCAAGATTACAAATACACTAGATTAAAACGTATTTTTTAATACTTTTGGATAAAACGCTGTAATTTCTAGTATATAAATAGTGTAGACAAGATGATATGGTCATTATGCACATGCATTAAAATGCGCATGCGTGCAATGCATAAATTTGAATATACTGAATATACTTCTGGGAAAACATTGTTATAGTCTAAAAGGCATAGAGTTCGTCTTATTTAATGAAGCTTACAGGGAATAAGGCACCAAAAGGGAGTTGGGGAGCGTTTCAACATCTGTAACGGTTCCCGTTACAATTAGCCCTAGTTATTATTATTATTATTATTTTTCTTCTTCCTGGGAAAATTTTGTCCACGAGTGATCTTGTAAACTATACATCCGACTTAGGTGAAACCTTTTTAGGGTCAGTAGGCATGTTATGTAGAGTTGCCGAACGAAGGTCATTTTGCGTGCACGTGCTTGCAAGAGCGGGCACGTGCAACACGTAAAATGACCAATATAATGTATACTGCCGTAACTTTTCTATTTTTTGATGAAATGTTTTGAAACTCATAATGTAAAGATATATTAGTAGTATAAACAAGATGACGTGGTCAGTATGGCAATATCTCACGCGCATGCACGTGCGCTTTGCTCTGATTGGCTGAAACTAAAGTCTCAATATCTTTCTTGTTTCTCGTCAAAATCATTTGAAATTTTGGACTTAGTCACATATTATGAAGATCTACAGCATGATATATAAGAATTTTCATGAAAACACGTACATGCACGTGTGCTTGCAAGAGCACGCACGTGCAACACGTGAAATGACCGGTTTAATTGATATAGGCGTAACTTTTTACATTTTTGATGAAATGCTTTGAAACTCATAATATAAGGATATATTTGTAGCATAGACAATATGACATGGTCAAAATACCAACATCTCACGCGCATGCACGTGCTCTTCGCTCTGATTGGCTGAAACTAAAGTGTCTATATCTTTCTTGTTTTTCAAAGAAATCTTACGGAATTTCGAACATAGCCATGCATTAAGATATCCTACAACATGATATATAGCAATTATCATGAAAACACGTGCATGCACGTGCGCTGCCATCTGATTGGCTTAAACTTTAAATAGCTATAACTCCCTTGGTTTTCAACTAAACAGGATGGGATTTGGAACATAGATAGATTTAATGAACCTCTACAAGAAGGTATGGTCACCATGCACATGCATACACGTGCGTGTACGTGCGCTGTAATCTGATTGGCTGAAACTTTAAACAGCTATAACTCCATTGGTTTTCAACCAAACGGGGTGGGATTCAGAACATAGATAGATGTAATGGACTTCTACAAGTAGATATGGTCACCATGCTCATGTATGCTCGTGCGTGCACGTGAAATGAGTTAAATCAAAAATACACTTGAATGAGCATATGTTTAAATACTTTTGGATTAAATACTTTAATATTTAGTATATCAAAATATATAGATTGTGTAGACAAGATGATATGGTCATTACGCACATGCATTCACATGCGCACGCGTGCAATGCTAAAATTTAAATGAACTTGGCATTGTAAATTAAAGTCTCAAATGCATAAATTTTGTCCTATTTAATGAAGCTTACATGGAATATGGCACCAAAAGGGAGTTGGGGAGCGTTTGGGGAACATCTGTAACGGTCCCCGTTACAATTAGCACTAGTTAATTTCAAAATTCAAAAGGTTAACGAAATTAAACCCAAATCCAAGCGAAATGAGAATCATGGGTTACCAAGATTGCCTTTTGGGATAAGCACCAGTTGTTTTTTTTTATAGTAGTTAACAATTATAGATTTAATTATATTCCTAACACAATGAGGACAAAAAAACTAAGAAAAGAATTAATTAAAGAATTGTAATCTTTTAAAATTTGTATTCAATATTTTCCATTTTATTGTAATTTATTTTTAAAAATATAAATGTGTATTGTATGTGACGTCGCCGTAATGATTTACAAATTATTTAGCCTACAAATTTCTACTTTAAGAAGGGATGCAAAACAGGTATTCGAGAAAAGTGTCGTCTGACCTTAAAAGAGTACATGTAATTAAACATTTTGGGTTTCATAAGGATGCAAGGATGCAAGGATGCAGCACTCATCAGTTCAGCCTATCGGACATAATGGTTTATGTACGGATGCTTTTACCCGATTTCCGCCGTATTAAGTAGATAAAACCCATCAACTCATCATAAAAGGGACACTAGTTCGTTACTAGTCCTATTTATAGCTGAAGGGACGGAGGTCAAGGTCAAGCAAACACGGCACGACAAAGCTTGGATTCAAACCGGCTTCAGATTGAGTGCATGAATAATCCTTTAGACCACTGAACCACATTGTCTACGTACTTTATGAAGTTACTGAGGCTACTTACCCATTATAGAAATGAGAAATTATAGAGAAAGGGAAAGTAAAGACTGTAATGGCTAAATCCGCCGCCGCCAAATTTGCGATGAAAATGTTGGCCGTTGTTCGAAGTTTCTGGAATCGACAGATGACCACAATGGTAATTCCATTTCCAATCAGAGATAAGATTCCTGAAAAAGAAGAGGTACTAAATCAATAAAGAAAATGGGAATTTTGCTCATATCAGAAAATATCCATTTAGAAAGAAAAAGCCTCCAATTCAACGTAAAATAATAGGTTAGGACCTTTTTTTTCAAAAACAACTTTGACCATGACCATTCCTGGATATAAGAATCTTTAAGTTACACAGCCACATGGTCTAGTCAAAAGCTTTCATACTCCTTTGTGTTGAAATAGTAATAGAAACGGTTTTGTTCTGTTTAGTGCTGTGTAACTGAAAAGAAACCTTGTGTCTAATGCTTCACCACAGAGTCACAAAATGTCAGTCCTGTCCAGAATTTAAGACTGTTTTCTAAACCCATATGACGTTATGAGTCTATTACCGGTAAACAGGTGTAGACTCTTTGCTTGACAGACATCAGAAAGTGAAAGAGTGAAAATGACCGGCAGATGCTTGTGAGGTCACATGATTTTCAACGGTCAAAGATTATGACAGACATAGGAGGATATGTTGACCGTTCATAATCATCATCGCCCTTTGCTTTACACACATCAAACTTCATCAAGGAATAGATGACCCCTTTTTTGTTATAAGGTTACGAGGTCATGGGTGAAACTTAAACACATATAAAATATTGATCACTCAGTATTTTGAGAACCCTTTGACAGATATCAAAGTTGATTCTCTTGTTTCTTTTAAGGAGTAGTTGACCCAAAGGGGAAAAGAGTCAAATTACTCTAGACATAGAAAAAATATCTTGTGCTCAATATTTTGGACTTTTTCTCAACATCTCTTTGTGGAACGTCGAGATCGGTCCTTCGGATGAGACTGTATAAACCAAGGTTCCGTGCCGCAGTAGGTGCTGGCACGAAAAAGATCCCTCACTGCTCAATGGCCCTGAGTGCCGAGCATAGGACAAAATCAAGTGATGGCGTCTCCATATGAGTGAAAAATTCTCGAGAGGGACGTTAAACATTATAGAATCAATCAATCAATGTCCCTTTCGAAAATTTTTTACTCATACTTGTCCGTAGAGGCCTCAGATTTTTACTTATGCAAAACACTCGGGACTATTGAGCAGTTAGGGGTCTTTTTCGTACCAGAAGAAACTTCTATGACACAGGACCTCGATTTATACGGTCTCATCTGAAGGACCAGTTTTCACGTCCCGCAGTGGGATTCAAACCAGCAATGTAAGGATTGACTTTACTCGAGTAGGCGCACCTACCACCGCGGCACGCGGGCGAACTCAATATTTTGAGAACCCTTTGCTAGGCAGATATTAAACTGGACACAGTTGATGATTTCTCCCCTGGAGGATCAAGTTGTTAAACCTTATGACTTGGAGACCGCAAGATCAAAGGTCAAGAGTCAAATTGGACATAGGAATTAGGGACATCAATTATTACATCGGTTTCTCCTGAAGAATCCTTTTTAAGTCAAAGTTTGAAGATCAAACAACATAGACACTCTTGAGTACCTTTTGCTTTACAGACATCATATTTTGTTATTCTGGTACCTTCTGAGAAAAAAAACTCTATCATGATATTCTTGTATATAGTGAGTTCTGGTAGAAGTATTGTGCTTCCTCCGTTACTAGTAAGTAAACAGTTGTTTTTCACTATCATTACATTCTTTAATTTAAGCGATTCCCTTTTGAATATATAAAAACCAAATGGATGGGGGTAGATACTTGTTTCTTCAACATTTCATTATCTTTTCTGGTCCATTTTCTTGGGAGTGATGGGGAGGCAGTTTGAAAATGTCGAAGAACTATATTGTTGACATTGGATAAGAGATAGATTTATATATTGATTCCCAAGATAATGTGTCGTTGGTCATGATTGATATTGTCGAAAACATATTGGTATATTGGTATGTTGTGCAAGCATTTGAATAAATGGGTTTTTTTCACTCAGCACAACTTGGCTTTACCATTCATTTAAATGCTTGGCTATATTGTTCAGATTTCTTCATAATAATCAGGTATGGGATTTGTGTTCCAAATACATTCTAAGATTGCAATTTTGACTGCATTAGTTCTAAAACCAACAGATGCTGAAACTGTAATTACTTTTCATAACTAAATTTACACTGTAAGTGATGAATATCAATATTTCTCCCTAAACTACTGAGTAAATGTAACATTGTTATAAGACCAGAGTAAGAGATAAAGTATGGCTTTAGTTTGCAATTGATCATTTCTACTTCTTAATCATTATTCCATAAAAAGCACGAAGATTGATTATACCAGTCAGTTGTAATATGCATTATGGATGTTAAGGAGGGACAGTTTTTCATCTTTTGGACATTGAGCTCGCAATATATGTGTTGCATGACGTTACATCATTTAAGAGAGAAATGACAGGATGGAATTAATGAAGAAGATTAATATAGTTTGTGTGATTGCGTCAAGCTTAAGAAGATTATATCCCTTGTCGGTGGTCAGGAAAGGACATTGCATGAGGGAAAGCCGACCTTTTTTAATAAGAAAGGTCGTATTTATAGAAAAAATTTCGATCTTTATTAATTAGAAAAGGACGTATTTACAGAAGAAAAGGTCGACCTCGATTAATTAGAAAGGTCGTTTTTACACAAGAAAAAGTCGCCCTCTTTTAATTAGAAAGATCGTATTTGTACAAGAAAAAGTTGACCTCTTTAACTTAGAAGAGTACATCTTCTTAAAGTAGCAATATTAAGTCATATTTTGCAAATGAAAAGTCGACCTCTTGTAAAGTAGGGAAGTCGTATTTGCATAAATCTTATATATAATTTATCAACATATTGCTTTTAACACAATAGTTCGACGGATGGTCTGAATCCTGTCAAGGCCTGAGTGATCGAGATAAAGGCCAGATTGTCACAACTTACAAATCGATATTGAAGCCCTATGAATATTATCTTTAACAAAAAATGGCTGACCGCCTGGACCACGTGATTTGCGCATGAGAAAAAGATTGATTCCTATGTTGTTTAACGTCTCTCTCGACAATTTTTCACTCATATGGAGACGCCACCACTTGCCGGTGGAGAGCTACAAATTGTGTTTTATACTCGGCATTCAGGGCCATTGAGCAGCGAGGGATCTTTTTCGTGCCAGCACCTACTGCGGTACGGAATCTTGTTTTATACGGTTTCATCCGAAGGACCGGTCTCCACGTCCAACAGTGGGATTCGAACCCGCGACGTAAGGATCGACTCCTTACTCATGGGAAGAAGAGGCAGGTGTGGATTAAAATTGTACGAAACTACTTAAAAAAATAATAAACTCAGAAACCTAATTTTATTCCTTTCAAGGGAAATAATTCCAAGTAATAATACGAGGTAGTTCGCGAACATTTTGATCACCCCTTTTATAATTTGTTTAAGTTAAGATCTATGTAAGTAACGTAAGTTACTTATCCCTGATATCTCGAATCCTCGGATATTTCGAAGTTTTCATGGTTCCGTCGAATTCGAGTCAACGAGGTTTGACTGTATACTAACGCACACCTTAAGTCACTGCATTTACAAAATTATGTTACTGTATTCTTTTTTGTTAAATCTTTGATACATACATTGTACATATAATATATTATATTGACGCACTAGTTAACTAATGCACTTGTTAGTCATTGCATATACAAAATTAATTTTTTTTTCTTCTATTATTAATTTCAAACTATGACGCATATTGCACATATAAGTTGACGCCTAACAAATACCAAAGTCATTGGCTCATTACATATACAAAAATTTTCTTTTACTTATCAAAGCATCTACGTCTAGAACTAGAGATATGAAAAAGAGTAAGGATTAAGTATTTGGAGGTTTCATTTTTAATTTGGGAGGTGTGAAGTTATCATTTACATTTACGAGCATACTTATGTCCATTTATTTTTTACACCTTTTTTGCAATATGAGTACCTTTTTCAGTAATTGAATAAAAGACAAAAATCTATTATAATACTATACTTTTTACTTATATCAAATCTCCGCAAACAGCATGACATTGTCTCCGAGTCCAGCCAGATCGAAGAGACATATATGTATCCTGTATTATGAAATTTCTGTAATGCTATGATCTAACTGCGTATACATAATGTAATTCAACTTCGTGCGCAGTAAGAATCTGATGTCTACGATGTCTACAATGGCTAATTATGAATGATGTACGTTGAAAGAAAGGAAGATTATGCTCCATAATAAGATTTGATATTAAGAGGCTTATAGTACATTTGAAATCAGATTGGCAAAATTCGGTCACCATTATCACGAACTATTTATAAAGACCGCGAGCACTGAGCTCACAAAATGATTCCCTGTTCCCATATGGTTATTATGGCATAGTACTTTTTATGCCCCGTAATCGAAGATTTATTTGGAATATAGTTTTTGTCCTGTCTATCCGTCTGTCCGTCTGTCTGTTTATTTGTCCGCAAAAAACTTGAACCTTACCCATAATTTTTGATTGGAGCTACTACATGGCTTTCATAATTCACATGTGTATTCCTTGTGACAACGCCTTCTTTTGAACACTGACATATTTGACCGTTTGAACTTGACCTTAGAGTTGACCCTCGTTTGCAAAAAAAAAATTAAAACTTTAAAAATGGACATATCTTTGAACTCTCATAGATCTCAAAGATATACATGTATATGTTTTTGATATTTTGACCTCCACCTTTAAGTTTGACAAACTTAAAAAAATACTTCTACCTTGGCCATAACTTTTGAACAATTAGTTCGAAGACCTTCATATTTTACAGATATATTCCTTGTGACACGACTTTCCTTTGGATACTAACAGTTTTGACCTTGGAATTTGATTTACTTTTGAAAAACTTAACCTTGGCCTTAACTTTTGAACAGTTGGTGCCATGGGTTTAATTTTTTCACATGTTTATTTCTTATGAATTTAAGGCTGTCCCGCGAGTAGTATTAATGTCTCTTTGATCTTGACCTTGAAGTTTGACCCACATTTTAAAAAATTTAATCTTGACCATTACTTTTGAATGAGTGATGCTTTGGTTGTCATATTTCATGAGTATAATTATTGATACAAGTCCTTTCTTTGAGTAGCAATTATATCTCTTGAACTTGACTTTGGAGTTTGACTTGCATTTGAGTAACTTTAAATTTCGCTAAAATCTGTCAAACAGGAGCATTACTATTTCACAAACACATCTTATTGCTATTGGAAACAAAACATAGATCTGTCCAATTAGATACTGCACATAAAAGAAGGTGCATATTGACAAATGCAATAACGTTTCCGTGAGTCTCTTAAAACTGTTTGGTGGTAAAGGAGAAAAAACGGATAAGAGACGAGTATTACTAATATTATAGAAAGAATGTCAGTGTCCATGTTTTGCAATGAGAAATCCCAGATATGTTTTCGATCGAAACATAAAATTTGAGGACACAGTGTCGCTATATGAAATAAAGTTTTGTTAAAAGTATCATTAAACTGCTATCAGTAGCGTAAGAGGAGTTGCTGCTACTCTTAAGTATCACGGGCGTGCTCTCCTTCCTCATCACTATACCCCGACTTTTAAATGGTGGGTATAAAGTCATTAAATCCATCATCTTTTGAGATTAACAAATGAATGGGGAAAAGAGAAGTTTTATTTGGTTCATGGTATATTTAAAAAGCAAAATATGATTTTATTTTTCGTCGCAGGACATGCGAATATACAAGAAATGATGTCAAGAAAGAGACGGTTAGACAATTTTATAAAATATTTCCCCTTTCCACAAAATTCTTGCAAGAATTTGACTGAGTTATAATGAGGACATTTTCTTCACAGTACAGATTCTTCTGAATATTTTTCAATATTTACTCTACTCAAGGTAGAGGACAACTGTCTTCCCTCAAATATTTATATATAAGCCATAACATTTTATGAAATGTTATGGCTTATAGGAAAATTGTTTAAATAAAATACATGTATTAAACTGATCTGACAATTTTTAACCAAAATCAAAACATGAAAAAGCCAATGACCTCTTTTGGTATTAACTCTGGTATTAACCTGACATTTTTGACGTCAAGGGTGCTATTTGTTTTATGTTTCTCAATATAATGGCCATTAAGAAATTGCTAATATAATTTCAGCTTTTATTGTCAACAGGAATGGTATGGAAAAATTGTTCATCGGGGAAATCCACACGCAAAGAAGATCTGTGTGCTATTTTAGGGTGTGATTTTCCTCAATGAAACATATTTAAATATCCTCTAAATACAATAAAACAATCCCCAAAAAGTGTAGATAATGTTGTTGGAGTTTGCACAATGATTGTTATGTCAAATACTGATGAAGTACTGATAAAGAATCAATACGCCTGTATGGACATCGATTTTTTACATTAATATTATTTGTTTTCTAAAAATAAATAGGTGGATTATAAAAGTGGATTATATATGTTTCCATATTTTCCCCCGGATACCTTAATTGAACGGCATTCCCACAAAAACTAAATTTTTATCCTGACCTTTCATAGTCATACTTTGGAGACCTACTCTGTTGCTTTTAATTTCCCACAAGGCGGACACATCTTCGATACTGGAGCGACGTTTTCATTACGGTAAAAAATAAATCAATGATTGTTTATAAGTGTAATCAAAGGAAGTTTTAAACTATCTATCGATTCTGTGTTTAAATTCAATCATTGCTACTGTTTAAAGTTATAAGATTTTACTTGTAAATTCGGTTAAAATGTTTCGTGTCAATATTCTCAAATGAATTGAAAATGAATTGCACCGTAGATGCCTTTTAAGCCCTTTACATTGATCAATACTATTATATTGTATTGTTTTCGAATACCCTTGTAAACCAGATGAGAGGCAAAAATTAATCTTAGTTTTAATATCAGAATACCTGTCAAACATCCACTTTTTATGTTTTGGAACGTAGATGTTTGTCCATCATATAACTTCAAAGTCACGAAAAATCTTATTTTTAAAATCGGAATAAGTACATTTGTATATGGGTCAATTATCCACTTTTTTCTGTTTCAGAACATCGATGTTTGTCCATGCATTATATAACATCAGATCGACAAAACAAGATATATTCGCAATTTACATGATTTCCCTATAAGCCATAACATTTTTATCTAAGTTCTATGCCTGTATAAAAACGTGACAATTATTTAATGCATTAAATCTCCATGCATTTTAAAAATCAATCTGTCTACTTTTGAAAAACTTTTTTTTTTCTAAACATACTAACATTTTTTATTATCAGTTTCGGTCCAACAGTGAAATACTAAATAGTTAAAAGAAATACAGTGTACTTGCATAGTATATATATCCACAAAATTAAAATTTTGCAGGTACGATTCAAAGTACTTAAGGGTCTTTAAATCATGGAATTTGGTCATGGTGCAAAGTTAATAAAAGTAATTAATTGGAACCTGTTCTAAAAATTTGAAGAAGAATCTCTGCGATATCTCGAATATCATGGATATGCCTTAATAATTTTGAAGTCCCAATATCCTTTATGTAAATTTGAAGCTTTATAATTCGAAACCCTGGATGTCTCAGTTTTCATCGGTGCCTTTGAGTTTGAGATAACGAGGTTTGACTGTAAATCAATGTTTTAGAAAAATCGATCAGGGGAAAATACAAAAAATAAATATCAATAAAATGAATTTCAAAAAATTATTTGTTACATATTGTTTTCCTTTTTTTCAAAATTTTCCTTAAAATAAATTGTAAAATAAATTTAAAAGAGGCTTACCGACAGCCGTAAGGTAAATGGCAATAATATTTCCTTGAATAGCTGACAGTTTCGGAGGGGTGAGAGACAATTCGACCATCGTTTCCGTTCCATTTGTCCAGGTAATATTCGAATAGTCCGTCATATCACACACCTCTTAGGCTCTTATCACGATACTGTTCTACACCAGTCGTATACAGTTCCTAAAATCTTCCGTTTCGTCGAAGAAGTGTCAATTATCGCTTTCCTAAACGAGAACATCGATCTTGCTGATGAGAGGGGGACGGTGTGAAGCAACTCCTTCCGTGGCCTACCTGTGGCAATAAACCCATTTTCCACCAAGCAACTTTAATTTTCAGTTTCAATTTTTGTCGAAGTAATTTGCGGTTTAATTAAATTTTATATACGCAGTGGTTTTTGTTTTTTTTCTCAAATCAAGGCAAACATTACTGAAGTAGCCAACACGTGGAAAAGGTATATAAAAGCAGAGCCTGAGACTCTGCATGTATGTTTTCCTTCATTAGGCGATGATGGATAATATTGGAGAGATAATTTGTCGATTATTCATAAATATACCACCTTTCAATGTTGAGCAAAACATTAACCAATACCTCTGATTCCTCTCGGAAAAAAAAATATCTGAGGTTGTCAATCAACAAATGTAAAATAGGTTTACTTTCTCTTCCTCATTTCCGGAGCCTTTTGGATAATCACAAAAAAAAAAACAAAACAAAGTTTTCTAATCGAACACAGGAAAGCTCTCTAAGATTCCTGTTTTAACTTCTACCTGAATAGTGATTTATTGCATACATTTCACAACCGATCATTATAAACTTTCAAAATGCAGTATGTGTTTTGAGATGTTCAAATTCTAAAAAAAACTAAATAATCCGATAGTAATTATTTTAACAATAACATCACATTTCTTCGTTTTAAATCAGAGAGAGAAAGAGAGTATATTTTTTGGTTTTAGTTTAAAATTTTGACATTCTGAATGCTCTAACAATGATGCAGGAACTGGTACAGTGAAGATGCTATATGTTCTCACAGGAAAGGGAAATCCCCCATCACTCCGTACTTGTCAGTTTGTCTCATTTTTAATTAATACAGCATAAAAGCAAGAACTATTGTAAGAAGATCACAAGCAGATCTAATAAGGATAGGACCTAGATTCAACCAGAGGTCAACGTCATTGGTGGTTCATTACCGAAGCAGTGACTTGATACTATGGAATTATATAAAATAATTATGACAAATCACAGTGTTTATAGAGGTAAAAGTAGTCACAACCTCACTTTTGTACTTTACAGTCTATAATTTTGAACAACTAATCACTATTAGTGACTTCCATTTGGATTGATTTTTGATCAATCAATTTATATGATTTTCCGAGAACCCCATTTTAACCGATATCGAGTTTTAAAAAAAAATCAGTGAGATGAAATGTTGGAATAAAGAACATTATTACATAATGTTCAAAGAATAAACAAAAAAAAAACAATTTTTTTTAATGAGATATTTGATTCGTTCCGAAATTCTGACAGACGAAACGCTTGGTGCACAGACTATCAGATTTCAGATTAAAACAAAACAAAACTGAAAACAGAACAAACACAGTTAAGTAACATAAACATGTAGCTCAAAAAATATTCAGAGGTGGGATTAGATGCCAAAAGAAGTCAGACCCCACCCCCGGCCATAACTTTTGAGTGGCTATGGCATTCATATTTCACACGTGTATTCCTCGTGACAAGACTTTTCTTTGGGTACCACCAATTTTGACCTCATGACCTTAACCTTAGAGTTTGACCAATTTTACCAAAAATACCACACTTTAACATTGACCATAACTTTTGCACAGTTGGTGCTAGAGCTTTCAGGCTTCACATGTATATTCATGGTGACAAGACCTTTCAATGGGTATAAATATTTTGTCCCACTTATAAAAAAACGTTAACCTTGGCCATAACTTTTGAACAGTTAGAACTAGGGCTTTCATATTTCACAGGTGTATTCTTTGTGACAAGACCATTCTTTTGATACCAAAAGTTTTGACCTTGACCATCGGAGTTTGACCTGTATCTAAAAAAAACTTTAACCCTCGTCATTAACTACCATAAGGGGACCTCAATGTTTTACAGACATTTCTTTTTAAAATAGAATTTCGACAATCATCTTTCTTTTGCCACTATTTTCAAACGATATTGAAAAAAAGAAAGCCGCAAAGACAGTAATGCATGTTCTTATAAAATATGTGCTTGGAATGCTCACTCTTCAATGGCACCCATTCACATTTATGTTTGAGTAACAAGGGTAGAAACCACATTAATTCTAAACCCCCAGTTGCTCCCAGAGTAATTAAAAAATTCAAAATGCACAACTACAAGACACACTCTGATTTTTATCAAAAATATTTTTCTTTTAAAAAATATTTACTGCAAAACCGTTTGAGAGTTAGGCTAAGGAAACCTTTTTTAGAAAACACCTAAACATCGTTTTTTTTAATTTTTTTTTCATAAATATCAGAATCAACATGTTATCTGAAACAATATTTCCAAGTCTTGCAAAACTGGCCCATCTTCATTCTGTTATATACGTACACTGTAGATAAGGAATTATTGCGAAAAGTGTGTAGGTGTACATATGTATGTCATTGTCATGAAACCTTCAGCTTCAGCTTTAAGCTAAGTTATTGTGTGTTTATTTTCAAAACTGCCAATTTTTCTTTTATTTTGCGAAAACTTAAATTATTGTTTGATTTTTAAACGAATTTGGTACTGGTGTTTGTTATTAATGTGCTTGCATGTTCACAATCACAGATTAGTTGAACAAAGCATCTCTGGTCATTAATAATTTCACAGATCTTAGAAGCAATTATTGTTCTATATATATCTCATACATATTTTAAAAAATTAAGAATTTTACTCTAAATACAAAATTCACAAACTAAATTGGATTTTAAACAGTCAAAGCTATAAGTATGTTTGTCAATCACCATTGAATTAAGCTCTTAACCCCTAAAAGGTGACGTCTCTATATAAATTTGTAAGATGTGTTTGTAAGTTTCATCAAATAAACTAAACTCTATGCATCTTAAACTTAAACAACGTTTTGGCAGCGTATATAGCAAATTTTGCATTTGCAAGTTTGCTCAAATCATTGTATCTACACTATTAAGTACTTAATATCAAGGCATTAAATCAAAAAGTGTATTTGAAAAAATTGTGTATAAAGAGGAAGGTCTTTTCTCAAGAAATACACCTGTGAAATATGAAAGCCCTAGTAATTTTTTTTTAAGTTATGACCAAGGTTAAAGTTTTTTACAAAGTATACTACTAAAAAATTTTAAGTCCCCAGGCAAGTTTTTGCTTTACCTCGCTCTTATATTGAATTATTTCAACAGTATAATTTAATAAGTATACAGGATGAAAAAAGTAGCAAAACTATTTTACGCACTTATTTTATTTCATTGAGGCATTTTAACACAATATGCAGAAACGTTAAAGCACCCTAGAATTAAAAATTCACAACGTTAAAAACAGCATTATACTCCATTCAAACGAATTCACAGCAAGACAACCGTTTCTCAAAGAGTTCACCCTATTTAAGAAAAATTCTTTTGTTGAAAGTTTTTTCCATATGGAGACTAGGTCGTCCTCTAGTTCCGCTAGATTCTGCTGCTGGAAAAGCTGTCTCACACTCCGGTCTATCTTCTTCCATATATGTAAATTAGGGTTGAGATTAGGATGACAAGGGGGCTTACCGAAAGTGCCTGTGCCTTGCTGACAATAGTTACATAATGTCTCATTACATGTATTCCCCACTTCTCCAGTTTGACATTGAGGGGAGGGTACTTCCGGTTCCGTTTCCATGGTTTTTTCCGAATAAACTCTAGTAGGATGATTTTGTTGTGTTTGTTGAAAATCTAGCGATTTCTAATGATTAAAAGGAATTCATGTATGCTCTGTAGGTTTTTCGGGCGGTAATTGTAAAGGTTTTAAGTAAAATAAAGTCAAATAGTGAAAGGAAACAGAACTCTCGTTGACTACGACATTGGGCCATTTCAACTTCACTTTCACATTGTTGTGTGCATGGACATACACCGCATTTTAATCAAACTTTTTTTCTGTTTTTCGTTATCAAGCAAAGATGGAGAACACATGGAAGTAAAAAATTTGTAGAATACACCTGAAAAAACATATGAAACTCGAACTTTATTTTTAACAAAAACGGTCACGTTTTGGCCTTGACAGGTAAGTATTGCAAATTAAAGGCAAAATTGTAAGCAACTAGTACATTGATGTTAAGGTTATGATTTAAAAAAAAATAAAAGTGGGGACTCAGAAATTTTGACAAGTATAGTTCAAACTCTAAGGTTAAGATCAAAAGGTCAATAATAATCATACAAATTGAAAGGTATTTCACAATGAATACGCATGTAAAGTATGCAAGCCCTAGCACCAACTGTTCAAAAGTTATGGCCAAGGTTAAACTTTGGGGGGGGGTGTATGAATTTAGGTCAAATTCCAAGGTCAAAGTCAAGATGTTAAAAAAGGTCTTGTCACAAGGAATACAAATGTGGAATATATGAAAGCCATAACCCCAGGTTATAGGCATTGTTTAAATTAGATAAACATATAAACAGACAGACAGACAGAATGACGAACAAAACAGAAACTATATACCTTGATTCTAGGATTACGGGAGCATATAATTATTTTTAAATGTGAAGCTAAACAACATACAACCAGTCAGTCAACCAATCAGTATTCAATAAAACTTGATGTGTATATTATTCAAGATAAAAGAGTCCCAATTAATTGGACTCGGAGAAAGACATCATAAGAAAAAAACAAGTAAAATATTGAAGCCCTAGCGCCAATTTTTAAAAGATATGGCTAAGATTAAAGTTTTTCAAAAGTAAGTCAAACTCCAAGTTCAAAATAGTTGATATCCAAAGGAAAGTCTTGTCACAAGAAATATACCCGTGAAAAATAAAGTCCCAGGTATATTTCTTGTCAAAAGTTGTGACAAAGGTTAAGGATTTTTATTTAAAAATTGGTCGAACTCCTAAGTCAAATACCGGTATGTTGATACCCAATGAAAGGTCTTGTCACAAGGAAACACATGTGAAATATAAATCCATTGTTTTAACCAATAAAAAAAATTATGGGGAAAGTCAAAGTTTTTTGGGGGGATAAACTGAAAGAAAAATAGGTATACAAGTAGACATGGCAAAAACTAAATAACCCTAATCTTTGATTACGGGGCATAAAAATATTTT